TGTTTGTAAATAGCTTGTGTTCCCTCTGGAGCTGGTAACAGTTTCTGGAGAGGGTACAGGAAGGTCCAGTGCTTAATTTACCTTTCTTTCTTTTTTTGAAAAAGTAATTTATGTACAGTTGATTTACAGTGTTGTATTAATTTCTGGTATAGAGTGATTCATATATATATATTTGTGTGTATATATACACATGTATTCTCTTTCATATTCATTATGGTTTATCACAATATATTGAATATAGTTCCCTGTTTCTACAGTAGGACCTTGTTGCTTATCCATTCTGTGTACAATAGTTTTTGCATCTGCTAATCGGCATCCTTGATCCGGCTGCTGTGGCTCCAGGCGGGCAGGTGGTTTCTGAGGCCCTGTGTGTTTTCAGTTTCATGAAACTCTACCCTGGAAAGGGTCCGTCCACCCTTGTTTAGCAGGGCCCCGTGGTGCAGGCTCTGGAGGGCTGGAAGCCCATCTGCACAGCGGCACCCTCCTGGGCCACATGGGGGCCAGACCTGTCTGTCTACCCTCTCCACATGTGGGGAATGGGAGGGCCTTCTGACTCTTGACCTGCCTTTTAAAATGTTGCCCTGCTGTGCTGGTTTAAATTTGGACCCTTGTTATCACCGAAAGGCAGGGGCTATATATAAGAACGATGGTCGACGATTATGGTGGAAAAGGTAAGGCAAATTTAAATCTAGGCAGTGGGACCTGGTGTAGCTAGAGCCTCTCAGGGAGCTGTGTCCAGGCCCTAAAGCGCACCTCCAACACTTTGATGTACGTTGCTCCTGGGGAACAGGGACAGAGAGCAAGCATGGTCCCTTTTGGCCTGTATTCTTGTTGAGCAGAAACCACTGTCAGTAGATCTCTCTTTTCAGTTGGACTCCATAGTAGGTCTCTGGGCACCTGCCTGTGGCCTCTGGGGCTGGAGAAACTGGACCTAGCAATGCCGTCCTATGCATTTCTACCTGTCCCCACCCCGGAAGGAGGGCACTGTCCCTTTAAGACAGCCTCCTTTGTATGCGCTGGATGGAGCACGTTGCAGCTCTGGGTTTCTGCTGGTTAAATCTGCAGAGCAACATTTAAATAAAGAAATAAATAGAAGGTCCCCTTGTGTGGCTTTCCTATTCACAGCTGAGTACAATGGTCCCTTGTTGCTGTAGGCTCTTTAATCCCCTTCATTAAATTGGAGCCTTGCAAGGGAATGGTGAGGGGCTGCTGCTGGAATGGTCCCCGTGCTGGAAGCGGGACACCTTGTGAATTAACCTTTGCAGGCATGAATTCCCGAGGCCTCCGGGCCCTCTGCTCTGTGTCCTTTCTGCGCGGGCTGCTGCCTCCCTAGCTGCCATTCTTTTCAGGAGAAGAGGGTTTAGCTGCCTCCCTGGCACAGAAGTGTGGCTGCAGCACGTGGCAGTCGGGGGAGGGAGGAGTTGTTTGTTGCTCTGCCATCTGGCCCATCAGCAGATATTTTACAGTTTAACCCCAGTGGCTACGCAGGAAAGCCCGGGCCTGGGCAGAGAGATGCCTTTGCCAGGTGCCCATGCCACTTCCTCAGAATCTCGGGGTGGATGTGGTGGGTTCTGAGTACCAGCTGTTTCTCTTCTGGTGGTGGCTTGCAGGGTCCTGGAGATGCCAGCCAGGATCCTTGGGACCCCTCTCTCCTTCAGCTCTCCAGCCATGGTTTTGATTCTTCATGCTGTTAAATGAAATTAAGCATTTTGTCTGTGAATTTTTTTTTCTTCATGGGCAATATGAGAATGAAGGCTTGAATTGAAGATTTGGTGTTGCATTGATAAGTTTAATCAAAGGAAAATGCATGTGTTAAAATGTTGGATTTTTTTTTCTCATCTCAGAACAAAATTCCACTAGAAAAATGAGATCTAAATCTGATTTTTTTTTTTTTGGTAAGTTCTTAGGTGATATATTGACCCATAAAGGAAGCAGTGTTGTGATTTGAGGGGGACTAGATGTAGAATGGAGAAGTGATTTAGAAATCATGGAGTTAGTGTCAGGAGACTCTTTCAAAGTAAATGTGGTTGAATGTCTTGCTGGTTCTAGCTGCACATGGGCTAGAACACCTTCCATCTGACTACCAGGACATAGGAGGCCTATCTTTTCTCATAACCATAGATTAACATTTTTATTTTTCATTAAAAAAAAAATCCAGTTGTACCTAGCTGTATTTTTTAAAGCAGATATTCAGGAGCTTATGTTCCCCATCTCTCTCCATTCCCAGACACACCCTTCCCAGAAGCAGTCACTCAGAATTAACTTTTTCTGACTTTTGATCTTCTGGTAGGTGCTGCCAGGTCTGTATTAATATTCTTGTCCTGCTGATTATTTTATCAAAGACTCTCTCCTGATTTCCTTTACTAGCAGCATTCTTTTTCTTCACTCTCTCCCTGTCTGATAGGCTATCACAGATGTGTGGTTGCTTAATTTTCATCTTTGAGATTTTCACACACACATTCACAACCTTGATTCCTGTCTGCGGTCTTTCGTGAGTGCCTGCTGCCCTTTTGCAGGAGGAAACGCAGGGAGCCTGCTTGTCCTTCGTGTGCTCCCTGCCCTCCTCCAGCCCTCTCGCCTCTGTCCACTCTTTCCCGACTCAACAGCTGACACATACAGTTGACAGCTGATTACATACAGCTTTTGTTGTGGAGCCTGGATGAGCCTCTGTGTGTGCTCCACTAGCGCTGCCCAAGACCAGAGTGCGCGCTAATCATCTCTCCTGGGAGCTGTTCCCAGCACCAGGGTCATGCCTCTCCTTCTGTGCCTCCCCTTGGCCTGTGGCTTGTACCCTGATGCCCTCTATCCTCTGTTTCTCCTGTTTCCAGCTGCCTTGTTATTCTGCTGAGAGGAGACCCAGCGATGCCTTCTTCCATTGTGAACACTCCAGCTCTTTCCTATGTATTCTTTCATGACCTTCCAGAAAAACTGTCCTGTGTGAGGGCTAACCCAGAATAGCCGAGTGCTTAGATTCTGAAAAAGAAGCCACCACTGAGAGTTTCCGGTTTGGAACAATAAAATTTGACTTCTTAGGGTACCCAGCAGTCTTGAGATACAAATTTTTCTTATCATGGTTCTGCTTTAAATGCACCTTGTTATGGGGACTGTAGTCCTTCCTCTGATGGAGGCGAGACTCATAGGTGATCTGATGAGGCCATCTCTGGTTCACAGTTAAAGCCTGGTTGTTCATTCCCTCGTGGGAGATGAGCTATTGCCTCACATTCTCAAAACCATGTTATATTGGAATGAATTTTTGTCTTTTAGAACCTCAAAAAATTTTCTTAAAAAAGTTTCTTAAAGGGAACTTCTCGTCTTCATGGACTAGAAATTTTTCTGGTTTGTGAAGTCCAGAAAAAGCAGAATAAACTCCCTTTAGGCTTGCTTTTCTCTAGAATGGGGTGTGAATCAGTAGAATTTGTGTTGTTTCTCAGCGTGGTTTTTGCTTAAACTACAGCTAAGCTGTTGTTAGTTAACTTTCTCCCGACATAGCCGTTGGAATGCTCACCCTGGCTTCCCAGAGACACAGTTGAAGCTTCACGTGGAAGACCTGGGCTGCATTTAGGTGGTCTTTTGGGATCTCTAGGTGGCTGTGTCTTCCAGCCTTTAGTGTACTGGAGTGTGTTTCAAACTGCAGTACATTTATTAGGCTATGAAATCAATTTCATGGGCTAAAGCTACTGTTAGGAAAACTAAAACAGTAGGAAATGTCAATGGATTTCACATGATGAGGGTATTATTTTGTTACTGTTGTGTTTGGGGCAGATTGGGTCGTTAAGTCAAATACCTTTCTTAATTGTGGGTCTTGAAGTTTGAAAGACACTATTCTATGAAAGGGTGGGGGAAAACTGGATTAAAAGGGAGAAGTCAGCTGAGACTCTAATATAGCTAATTAACCTGTGCTGAGACTGAATCGTGGTGGTCTCTCGTTTCTGCCCTCTTCTGCTGTCTTGCACGATTTGTATGAAGCATTCGGGGAGAAGAACTGCTCTCTGAGTGCATAGATTCAGTTTCAGCAGCACGGCTGGTGAGTCATGCACCCTGACCGCACTCTGAAGCCGAGCCATTCCTCTGTGTTGCACAGCAGAAATATCACTCGAGCCACAAGGGCAGCGTTCCTCTCTAGTAGCCCCTGCAAGCGCAGTTAAAATACTGTATTTTGTGTACCAAGTTATTTCAATGTGTGATCAATATAAAATAGTATTAAAGAAATATGTTACTTTTTTGTACAGTCTGGTGTGTCTTTTATATACACCGCACATCTCAAACCGGGCTAGTCACATTTCAAGTGCTTACTACCCACACGTGGCCCGTGGCTACCATGTCACATGGAGCAGCTCTCACTTTGGCGCCTGCGCGAAAGATGGATGCCTGCAGTAACTGTTCTGATGATAAGCTCATTCTAAAACATTATTCAAAAATGTTCAAAAAAACAGAGAGAAAAGTCCCCATAACCCCATCCCCAGAGTTAAGCATTGTTTCAATTTGGGGATGTATCCTTCTAGATCTTTTTCTTTGTACATACTAGCCTCCCCACTCCAGAAGTGGCACAAAACTGTCATTCCTGGTGCTTTGCAATTACCTCCTCCTCCCCGCTGGGGTCCTGGACATCATCCCACGTCAGGGTGGATTCAGTGAGGGAGCAGAGACCCAGAGAGACTGGTTAACCAGGGGCCTGGGCCCCCAGCCTGTGGGATGGAAATGGCTGGGCCCTGATTAATGGTTCTCCTCTTTCATTCCTAGCCAACCTCATCTCACCACAGGCAGCCTTTTCTCTTGTTTTTTGTTTGTTTGTTTTTTGTGAGAGCTTTGATCCATGGTCCTTTCTAACTTTGGGCAACCTGATGGTGAATGAGAGCTAGAGTCTCCCCAGCAGTTGGTCACTTCCAACACAGGCTTCTCGCCTTTTCTGTGGTATCTTTGTCCTTTTGTGGTCTCTGAATTGTATTTATTTTTGGTAAGGTAAAAGCTTTCTTAGTAACTTTTCCCTCCTTTTTTTGTAGTTCCCAGTGACCTGACTGCAGAGGAGCGCCAGGAGCTGGAGAACATTCGGCGGAGAAAGCAGGAGCTGCTGGCCGACATCCAGGTAGGAGCTGGGCAACTCCTTGACCAGGTGTCTTCTCATGACACCTTCTGACTTGCTCTCACCACATTTCGGACCAGGTGCAGGAATTGACAACCATCTTTTCTCAACAAGGAAGAATGGAATCTCAAAGTGGGGGAGTGCTCTGTGAGCTGCACCCAGCGGGTCAGCTGTAAGGCTAGAGTGACCCCAGGTCTCCTGACTGCAACTTGAACCGAGGCTTCAGGCTAAGCAGACCCACATCCACGTCCTAGTGGCCATTTTCTGACAGTGCAATTCTAGAGAGAGAATTTTGGTTCTTTGAACTTTAGTTTCTTCTTTGAACTTTAGATAGGAGTAAAAACACCTCTTGATAGGTTGCCATTAGTTGGATTATTTTAGGCCTTGGGGAAGCCGTTTCTTTTAGAATTCTCTGTAAAAGATTTGGAAGCCCAAGAGCAGGGAAGGGAGGGGGCACACCCTGTAACCCCAAGCTTCATCGTGTCGAGGAAGGACTGGGTCTGCTCCAGTGTTGGTGTGAGCGTACTTTGCTGTTACATAGTTCTTTGAGTCCTACCTCACTAGTAAATGCTGGAAAAGCATAGCAGTTCTTCCCTCCAAGTCCCCTCCACCCCAACAGTGAATGCTTTCTACCCTGCAGACCTGTTTATTAGATGGGGCAGGAGGAGGAAGGCATAGCCAGGAGTGGCGTTCCCTTTGCTGGCCGCTTGGCGGCAGTGTTGACCCAGTCCAGGCACTGCTGGCTGGACAGCGCGGTGCCTGGAGGACCGGTTTGTCCCCCTTTCAGTGAGCTGCAGATACACTGTGACAGACTGTCCAGGCATCTGTTTTCTAATGGAAAATACATATTTTACATAGTATATATGATTATAAACTTCTTTCCTAGACTGTAAACTCCTTGAGGTCAGGTTGTTATCTTTTTCTTCTTTGTATTCCCTAGAATGATTACAGTCTGGTAGGAACTCAAGAAACATTTGTTGAACAGACGAATTTTCCAAAAATTTTTAGGTTTTGGGGGGTGTTGTCTTTATTTTGTTTGCTCTGTTTTACTTTTTGGTCAGAGGGAGTTACAGGAGATTTTGGCGATTTTATTTTTATTTTCTTTTGATTTTGGTGATTTTAATCTGATCTATATCTTCCTCCTGGTAATTCTGGACTGTGTTTTGCAGAGGCTGAAGGATGAGATAGCAGAAGTAGCTAATGAAATTGAAAACCTGGGGTCTACAGAAGAGAGGTGAGTCTGTCCTTTTCTGGATGGTTTTGTGATTGTGGCATCGCTAAGCGCCAGCCTGGAATTGTGCCCATGTCACGTATTTAAGGAGTAAGTGCGTCTTCTGCCTTCTTTTCTGAGCAAGCATGTATGTAGCCATACTTTCTGCCTTCTGCGCAGGGACTCCTGAATGTGAAGGCTTTTGAATGTTTTTGGAAAGGCTGAACTGGAGAACTTGGCAGGTCCCCCAAAATCTTAAACTGCCTTTAAATTGTTGTGTGAACTATTTCTTCTCTTCTCATATCCACTGGGTTCCTATTTTAGAGTTTCCATTTTTCACTTTGGGTAAAGGAAAAGCTTAACGGATGCTGCTGATGCAGCTCCAGAAGGCTGGAGGCCCAGTTGTGTCTAGGCATCACTGCAAGCTTGCTTGTGCCTCCCTAACACTTAAGAGAACGTAGAAGTGAGATTATAGCACAAAGTGCCAAGGCGTGTCTGCTGGTTCTTTTTTTCCTTTAACTACATGAAATGTTAGTTGCTTTGAGAGTTTAATTTTGAATGGAGTTCCCAGACCGTTTTCTAACTGCTTAGTGTCGTAAATGGGTTGTTACTAATTCACTGCATGTCTGTATTTTTCTAAGCCTAAGTCTCCCCGTCTAGCTTCAGGAGACTGTTGGGTTTTGTTATTTTAAACTTGTGTGCGCAGGGTCATATGGATTAGTGAAGCTGCATGTCCAGCAGAAACCAGCCAGCTCGTCATGTCGAGTCTCTGCTTTGCCAGTTCTGAATTACAGCTTTCTTACTTGCCACTAAAAAAAAAAATTTGCAGCTTCAAAGAAATGGACAAATTGGTGTTTGTCGAAATTTACTATTTCTGCTCTTACAAAGGGTACTCTTTTTTTTTTTACAAAGGGTACTCTTAAAAGAAGTGAATAGGGACTTCCCTGGTGGTCCAAGGGCTAAGACTCTGCACTCCCAATGCAGTGGGCCTGGGTTTGATCCCTGGGCAGGCAACTAGATCCCACATGCCACAACTGAAGATCCTGTGTGCTGCAACCAAGACTCAGCGCAGCCAAATAAAATTTTCAAAAAGGAAATGAATAGGCAGGCTACAGACAAGGGGAAAATATCTGCATTACCTATATTTGAAAAAAGACTTGTATCTGGAATTTATATAAAAAGAACATATAAAACTCACTAATAACAAGATAATTTGACTAAAAAGCAGGCAAAAAAAAAAAAAGTGAACGCTTTTACGTGAAAAATGCTCAGTATCATGAGTCATGAGGAGATGCCACTTTACACCCACTAGAACGGCCAGAGTTAAACAGACAGGTGGTGCCTCGTGTTGCCGAGAGCTGGTGAGAACAAGCAGTGTAAACATTGGGGAAAACCAACTGGCAGTTCCTCCTAATGTTGACCGTATACCCCTGCTGTGCCCAGCAGTTCAGCTCCCAGGTATTTACTCAGGAGAAAGGAGAACATGCCCACACGCATGAGGACATCTATAGCGTTCTTACTTAAAATAGGCCAAAACTGGAATTAGCTTTAATGTCCCGCAACAGATGAACAGATGAGTTCATGAGCTATTAACTTACATAATTAATATGTAACTATGACAATACTCTAAAACTGGATTATGGTGATAGTTGCCCAACTCAGTAAACGTATTAAACATTGTTCAGATGTGCACTCAAAATGGGTATGTTATATGATATGTAAATTATACCTCAGTAAAGTTTCAAAAATGAAATGGAAAAAAAAGAAACCCACTGTAGTAGAAGAAACAAAGGCACCTAGGACCAAGGTCAGGATTTCAGTTGACCTTCCATAGTTAGACCCAGGTGTACCTGAGCTTTCCTGGATAAATCTCAGAAATCACTGCACTTCAGTGACACATGTGGGAGTTATGTCAGTCTTTCAAAAATTCCCGATTACCCAGAGTACTTAAATGGCTGTGATGGTTGTTTTACAGGAAAAATATGCAGAGGAACAAACAGGTAGCCATGGGCAGGAAAAAATTCAACATGGATCCTAAAAAAGTAAGTGACAAAAGACAGCAGCCAGAGCCTGTAGTCTGTAAAGTGGGGGTTTCCACATTGTCAGCAGGAACCGGGGGCATTTGAGACAGCCTCCCTCCCTTTTGTGGAGTGCAGCTCATGTCATGATCCCTGCCTCCTACAGAACATAGGACATACTCACTGCACACTTACTCTGTGTACAGAGCACCCGCACCCATTCTTCCTGTGCCCCCACCTCCTTTCTGGGTGTTTCTGGCGTCTGAAGCACTATTGGCATCTTTGCTGCCTTTCCAGGGGATCCAGTTCTTAATAGAGAATGACCTGCTGAAGAACACCTGTGAAGACATTGCCCAGTTCTTGTATAAAGGTGAAGGGCTCAACAAAACAGCCATTGGCGACTACCTGGGGGAGAGGTAAGACTTTCGGGGACCCCTGCAGTAGAGGTTAGTCGGCAGTTACCTAGAGAAACAAACTCCAAGATGCCCCGAGCTTTGTCCCGGGACAGGTGGAGGTGTCCAGCAGCTGCTGTCCTGTGTTCGGCCAGTGCACAGAGGGCTGCAGATCTTCCATTTGACATTTGGCTGCCTCTTGGGCTGCGGGGGAGGGGGGGGGGGCTCAGCGCTTAGCCTGGGAGGCAGCCTGACGACCCTGGATTCTCAGCGTCATTGTCTGACTTCTGCTCTCCCAACCCCATATCTTTTGTTTCTCTTGCTAGAGACGAGTTTAACATCCAGGTTCTTCATGCGTTTGTGGAGCTGCATGAGTTCACCGATCTCAACCTCGTCCAGGCCTTACGGTGAGTGTGTTCGCAGCCACTACCTTGTTGAGGGAGACGGGTCTCTGGTTGTAGATCTGTTCTGCACACTTCAGTTCAGCTTGGTCGTGTCTGACTCTTTGTGACACCATGGGTCCTGCACAACCTGGCATTTTAGTGAAATTGTACCTTGGGGGGTGATTTGAGTATCTATGATTGAAATGATTGGATGGTTAAAGGGGATTAAATTGAAAGCAAAATTTGTAAAACTCTTCCTCAGATCTTTCATTTATCATTTGGAAATTGATGAATATTTCCACTTTGAATCTTTCCCAATTTCACTTCAGAAAATCCTTTAAATTTCTTGCCCTGAAACAGGAAATAGGTAGTGTGCCCTTCATTTCAGAAGGAAAAAGGTCAACATTAATTTCTTTTTTGCTAAATATAGTCCCCTTGTGCTTTTTGAGAAATTGTAATTTGGTATTTTCATTGCTGTTTAAGTGTGAATAATATCATGTTTTGTGGTGTTGTTTAGATAGATGAAAAAAAATCCAGAATTAAAGCTGTTGGCCACGGGTCTCTGACTTAAAGGGCTCAGTAGTGACTGTTTGATAGAAAATCTCTTTTCCTGCTTTGTCTTTTTTTATTCTTTCTGGAAATTAGAGTTCTTTTAATTGGAGTTCTTATGTATCCATCTGAAGAGCTGAACCATTCTTTTGAATAGGAAAATCTTTTTCTTTTTTTCTTTTCATAAATACATTCCCTCCTGTCGAGAGGACAGAGATGTGGAGTGGTTAGCCTGCCTCTGACAGAAGGCTGAAGCCCCCGCCATCTCCCTTCACTGCAGAAACCTTTCACGAACAGGTTATCTCCCCAGTCCCGTAACACCCTGTCTTCCCCTCCCAGGCAGTTCCTGTGGAGCTTCCGGCTGCCGGGAGAGGCGCAGAAGATTGACCGGATGATGGAGGCGTTCGCCCAGCGCTATTGTCAGTGCAACCACGGGGTGTTCCAGTCCACAGGTGAGCATGAGGGGCGTCCCCTCCTGAGGTCAGCAGCGCCTGCCAGCTTCTCTTCTAGGTACTGGGTCATGCCTAAAACCAGAGGGATTAGGTTCCTGCCTAAGGACATCACTTTAAATGATTTTTATAATAAAAAAAAAATAAAATGGTATTTATAATAGTAAAAAGTTGGAAACTATCCAAAGTCTGCCAGTAAGGTAGTAGGCATCTAAGTAAGGGCACCTCTTGAATTATGAAGTGTACAACTATTAAAATTTATGTTTTTATAAAGAGGCTTTATCAACATGGAAAAATGCAAATAAGATTAGCGAAAAAGCAGACCTCAAAACTATGTATCTGTTGTAATTCTTTTTTTTTTTTTTTTTGGTATAATTCTAATTATGTTACAGTCTGTATCTCTGAGGTACATTTTTTTTTAAATTTATTTATTTTTTAATAGACGGATAATCACTTTACAGAATTTTGCTGTTTTCTGTCAAACCTCTGAGGTACATTTTGTGATACATTACGTGTAGGCACATTTATGTAAGAAAATAAGTTATTCCTCGGTAGTGGAATTGTAGGTAGTTTATATGTTCTTTTTCATATATTGTGCTTTTCTGTACATGTTCTTCTTTTACAAGCTGAGAAAAATGAAACACTTTTACATCTTGAGCACTTTACATTCTTTCCCGTGCCTTGCCCTTCACAGTTGGAGTGTGTCCAGACACATGGGTTTGGCTTACTCTTGAGGGCATTGCTTTGTAATCTCAGTCTCACCTGGTGTTTCTTGTTCTTTATGGTGGGATGTTTCTGACTGGATTTTGTTTTTTCCTTTTAGACACTTGTTATGTCCTCTCATTTGCCATCATCATGTTGAACACCAGCCTGCATAACCCCAATGTCAAAGATAAGCCCACCGTGGAGAGGTTCATCGCCATGAATCGAGGCATCAATGATGGGGGAGACCTGCCCGAGGAGCTGCTCCGGGTGAGCTCAGCTCTCCTTCAAGGCCATGGGCTCAGGCGATGCTGATGGAGGGGACGGGAGGGATGTGGGCTCAATCCAGTGTCTGCCCAGCCCGTCCACTCAGCTATATGAATTGCATTAAGAAACTGATAGCAAGGCCCAGTGAGCAGTCAGTGGGGGAAAGTGATTTATGACTCTGAGACTAAAGGCTCAAGTGGAGGCTGGGTTGATCTCCCTTCTTTCTTGCTCGCTGGTTAGGCCTCTGTTTCTTTTGTCTCTGGGTCCTGAAGGCAGAGGGGCTCTCGTGCCACCAGTGCAGGGCATGCAGTGATGCTCACTGCATGCGTGATGGGGAAGGGTGGGCGGGAGAGGTATTTCTAGGATCGGAGACGTGCAACGTCATCTTTTCTTCCAGAATCTGTATGAGAGCATAAAAAATGAACCCTTTAAAATCCCTGAAGATGATGGGAATGACCTCACCCACACTTTTTTCAACCCAGACCGAGAAGGCTGGCTATTGAAGCTTGGTAAGTGATGCCCTCTGGGTCAGGGCTCCTCACACAAGCTTAGAAAGGACGTGCGTGTGCACACCCACACATGCAGTATGGGGAACGGGGGTTTGGTACTGGAGGCGCTAAGGAGAGACTTTGGTATGAGTTCCTACTGTTCTAACAGAATTGCCTCCCAAGAGACAGTGAATGCATGGCCAGCGCCCCACGGGACACACAGTCTCCTGGGACAGACTTGCCCACATAAATATTGCCCACGGGTGTTTGCGCTCCATGTTACCTCTCTGGGGTGGATTGAGGAGGGTTCATTTCAAGGCGGTTCCCCGAGGACCTTGTCCTTTTCCCTTCCCAGCCCCCCTGACCACTGGGAGGGTGGCCAGCTGTGCCCATCTCTCTACTTCCCATCACAAGTTTGTGCCCAGTGCTCCCGCCTCCCCCACCCCCAGTGCATCATCACTTCCTTCTGCATCTGGCTCCCACAGGCAGCGTGCATGGCAAACCCAGGGCCCTGGCTGCAGCGCAATCCACGGCACTCTTACTCATTCTCGGGCGCTGGTTTTTTTTCCCCCTCCTTTCCAATCCAAATCAGCCACATTAATGATTTTGTTCATTCAGAAAAACTAAAAGTTGCTCCCCTTCCCTCTGCCAAGAGTGAGCTAGTATTGCTGAGATGTGTGGTCATGATCTGCCATCAGAGGGATAGGAGTGAACAAAAGGAGCAGTAGATTTTTACGCACATTCATATGTACCTGTGACTGTTTCATTGACAGTTTCAGCACGCAGAGGGAACCCCCAGACATAATGATGCTAATTTTTTGGCCACTGAGAGAGTGCATTCCTCTGTTTTTTTTTGCCTTGGCCTTTTGATGTGTGAGTTCCCGCATTCTCAGGAGGTGTCATTGGAATGATCCTCCTGTCACCATTCCAGCTGTAGGTCCCAGTGAGATTAGAAGTCCTTATTACATTCTAGGCTGTTACTGACACATCTGGGAAGTGCTGAAATGGAATCTTCAATTTTTGTCTCATTCAGGAGAATTTGTATACTCTTTTAAAATCCTAAGTCCTTGTGTTTATACATAATGACTTAATTCATAAATTCTCCTTAAAGCACCACCTCACTGATCGGAGTTTTTAATGTCTCTCAAATTGGTCAGCATACCATATATATTTAAGCCAGTAGAATCTTTGAAGTCAAGGCTCTAAAATTACTTATCCCAGGGGCAGCCACTCTGCTCTGCATCCTGATTGCCAAGTGGACAGAGTTAAAAGGAAACCTGCTGGAAATGTAAGAAGTATATCCAAGTTTGGGTTTGCTTTCCCCTCCAGTGAGATTTGTTTAAATGCTAATACTAAGTGTTAGCTTTGACAGCCCAGATACTAAATTTAGAGCAGTACGAAGATTTTCTTGGTTCTTACACCATGATGACATGTAAATTCATGAGGCATCCCATATTTTTAAAAAAGAAAAAAATTTAACTAAATGTGAAACTCATTTTTAGGTCATGGCATTACTTTTTCTGAACCTCCACCAAACCCTCCTAAACTCTTCCTGTCGTGTTTTCACCGTAGCACACTTAGAATCACCCCTGTTTGTGTGTGTGCCACGGAAGGCGGGCCTTCCGGCCATCTGTAGTTGTATGTGTATGTCTGTGTATGCATATAACTGTAAGAATGTGTATTCTTGTGTATACACATATGTACATATGTATTCACAGGCTTGTGAGTGTGCATTTTCACACTTTAAATAGGAGTAGCCATCCAAAGAGAGACGCTTAATTTCTCCCAAAGTAATCTTCACTGTGTTTGCTCTGGATTCTGGATATAGTAATAAATGTCAGCTCGATGAGAACTGATTGGTGGCATCTTTGGGGCCAGGATTTGGGTGGTGCCTCTGGTCTTGCCTTTACCAGGTAGGACGTGGCAGATGAGGCAGGCCCTTTATTCCCACGCCAGACAGCAGCGTTTGCCCCGTGACTGTTTTTATGTCCCCATCCCCCACCCAGGCAGACCTGAATGACTAATACAGTGCACCTTAAGATTAAGGAGTTGGGTTTAATTTCTTTGTTTTAATTTTCTTTTCTCCCTCATTTGTATGTTTCCATGATTTTGGCTCTCCTTTTCCTTGCCCCAAACTCCAGGAGGTATGTAATCCCCTCAACCCTGCTCGCTCGCTCTGCCCAGGCCACTGTAATCGCTGCAGCGTTTTCTTATTTTGTTATTTTTTGGTTATTTTGTTTTTTAATTGCTGGTGGTAGTGTTAATGCTGCTTCTAACTTACCATACAGTCCCTCGGGAACCGGTCAGGCTTGGGGTGCGGAGGGATTTTCATCTTTCCCTGGTAGGGGTGGTGCACGGTGTGTCCAACAGCTGGGCCCAGATGTGGAATGATTTGAACTTTCCTGAGGGAAGTAGTGTAAGAAAACATAGTAAGAGTGGGTTTTTAAAAGCAAGCAAAGCAGTCACTGAATTCTCTCTTGGACTTTATTGGTCAGGCGGATGCTATATTGTTGATTGAAATTGACACCCATGAATTTTCGAGATTTCTCAAGTGGAGAAGAGGAGGAGGAGAAGGAAGGGATTTCCACGGCCGTGTGCTTCTGACACACCTCCCGTGACCAGAGAAGAATTAAATTAGACAACGTAGGACATTTGCCCTTGCATGAAAAAGGGAAATGGTGTTTCTTAAACTCAGAATGAGGCCAAGTAAAGTTTAAAAAAAAAGAAGACAAAAACCCCCAACCCCTTCTTGAAGGCCTTCCGTTTAATTTTCTGTTTTGGGGGAGGGCATTACAACCTCGGCTCTGATTTTATGTTTTGTTTTTATCCCTCCTCTTTTCAATGAGTCATCGTTCAGACCCCCAAATTGGCCTCTTAGTTATGTCGCTGGTGTCTGCCCTCCCCTTGCTGGTTTCGGGGCACGTGTTTTCCAGATGAGGAGTCTCTGGATGTCTGTTACTTGAGCAGAGCCACACAGGAAAGAATGGCCCCAACACTGATGTTTGTAAAATGTTCTGGGGCCTTGTCAGGTGGCTCCCAGCTCCCAGGGAGCCAGAGTCAGGCCTTTATATCTATGGGGTGGAGGCCCGCAGGCAGGGCAGTGGTCCTGTGAGTTCCTCAGGGACTGTCTTAGGTGCGCGCATCAGTCTGTCTGCTTGTTTCCTGTCTGTTTTCCTTCCAACATGGAATATGCCCCGCACAGTGCTCCATGGTAGGAGCTTGTTAGCGCAGCAGGTTGTTGGGAAATAGCCAGGCTTTCTTCGCCAGGGAGAGGCTTTGTCCAGCTTTGCTTTCTGTCCTAGATTTCCTTCCGTCTTCCTCCTTTTGGCACCTGATCCCTCTTCCACAACCTCCCAAGATCCGAGGGCCCCCAGGGTGGTCCTGTGAGGGGAGCGCACAACAGTGGGCGTGGGCTGAGGTGTCCTGTGTGGGGGGCCCCCCGTGGGGGTGCAGGCCCAAGAGGCAGAAGAGCTACTTCCTCAGACGCTGACGAGGGCGGGCTTCCTTTTCACAGCAAATCAGCTCCAGTTCTAAGTATATCCTTGTCTTCCTTCTCCTCATTTATTTTGGTTCTGCCCAGCCTCTCCCATTTCCTCATGCATGTCATTTTCCATCCATGGTTTTCCTGATTCATGCCCTAGGGCCTCAGGGGCCAGAAGCACATGCTCACAGAAGCTGGCAGTCGCTGTGGGGGAGAGAGTCAGTCTTTGCTTGACACCAGCACGGGACAGGGGGTCCGGGTGGGGGGCGTAGCACGCGCTGGCTTACGGCCAGCCTCCTTCCCCAACCAAGGTCTGTGCCATTGAGAACCTCTGCAGTTCACGAGCAGTCGCTTAACCTCTCAGAGTTTGGGCACCCAAGCAGAGCCACGCCAGGAGCTCAAAAGTCGGTAGCCCTTAGAGTTGCTGCCAGGACCTATGCTGGACCTTTTATTTCTGGGACGGGATTTGCGTTGCTCCAGCAGTCGGATCCTTTGAGGAAACCAGGCGTGAGAGCGCAGCCACATCCTGGAAGCTGGAGACACTCGCTCTAAAGCCCCTGCTCATCTGTTGGGGGTGAGGGGCAAGTGAGGAAGCGTGACTAGGGTCATTGGATTCACACCTTGTGGTCCTTGTTTTCTGTGAGGATCAGAGAAGCGGTGCCCTCTGTAGGTTACGTTGGCAGAGAGAGCGCCTCCTGTCCAGGGCAGCGCGAGGTTGTTTGTGAAACGGCCTGCGTATCTTACCACGTGAAGGCTTTTCATTTGGTTCGTATTCAGAAAACTTTTCCTGGACCTGGTGTGCGTTGAGGAGAACGGCTGTGCTCAGGGTCAGACTGGGAGCAGAGTGTGCCTTCCTTCACCCAGGCCATGGCAACGTTTCCCTTCCTTCACATCGTCTCAGGATAACGTCATGACTCTGACGTTTCCTTTGATTGAGGAACATTTAAAAGGACTAGGGGAGCCTTCACCAACTCACCGCCACCCCTGAGAGCTCACTTGGCCTATGGCTTCCTCCTCCAGTTAATTTTGTTTCAAGCTTCTGGTGAGAAGTCCACAGTTGAATAGGTACCTCAGCCCACCAGTGGATTCTTCCCTGTTCCAGGAATCCTGCTTTGTCTCACCCAGGACTCTGGGAGAATTTAGGACACTGGCCCAGAAACCTAAAAAGCCAGAGTAGAAACATACTACGATCAGGAAGGTGGGCTAGGCGGTGAAACTGCAGGACTGTGGGTTCCTTGTTCCAGGAATACTGGATTTGATTGTGAGGGGATTAAGATGTCTTACTTCCCAGTTATTCTCCTGCCCTTTTCTGATAAAACCCTGGGCTGGTGGACTGGCAGTGTAGCGTGGCCAGGGGGCTGACCCTCTCCCCTCTGTGTGCCCCATTTCCACTGCATCCATAGGCTTCTGCTGACGCTTCTCTGGTTCATCGCTGTCCCAGCTCCCTCCCCAGCCCCTGCGCTCATCTGCTGTCCTGATGTCATCTGCAGGGGGCCACCCAACTTGCTTGCTCTGCTTGTACCCACAGACTTTCACACTGTGAAAGGTGCTTCTGTTTTGGCTCTGTGTCTCGTTACTGATGTAAATCTGCCATGGTCTCAGTGTCCTCCTGGCGCCCTGCCCTCGCTTCCTCGTCCCGCACCCTGGCCAGTGGACTCCTATCCAACACACATCTCTCTTTGCTCTGCAGGTGGCAGGGTAAAGACCTGGAAAAGACGCTGGTTCATTCTGACTGACAACTGCCTTTACTACTTTGAATACACGACGGTGAGCGCCTGCTGGTCGGTTGGGACGAGGGGTGGACCAGGCTTTGTGGTTAAAACAGCTCTAATCAGACAAGATTGGAGGAGGTGGGGGTGACAGTCAGATGCTGCATCTTGGGGCGGGAGAAGAGTTTAAGTGAAGAGGAAGGGCTAAGAGGAATCTCAGAACTGGGGCCTGGGCATGGTGTGTGGTGCGTGGCCACAGGAACCATAGTTCAGAGCCAATATCCAGCTCTCAACTGGGACAGCTGGTGCCTGCTGGGAGACAGTGGCAGAGAACGTCATACATGGCATTAGAAACGGGTCATGGAGCCCAGCTAATGAGTTTGGATCCATGGCCAGGAGAGAGTTTGTGGCCCCACTGAAAGGGAGACAGAGGTAGTCGTGATTTGTAGAATGCACATCTGTGGTAGCTGGAATACTGAAGCACTTGATTTAGAAGGAACAGCCAAAGGGCACAATGTATAACAGAGGAAAAGAAAGTGAAATGAAATGGGAAAAGTTAGAGACTACCTGGAGTTTTAAGAAACTGATATTTACTTAAATTGAAAATTTTGTTGGTTTTTATTCAGTGGTAATGAAATTGTAACAATATAAATACTTGTTACATACAAGTCCTGTTTGTAACAACACCTATGAGCATAAAGATTGTACAGCAAAACCTTTTCTGAAGCTCCCTCTAACAGAGCCCCCAGGAGGCCTGGCAGGTTGGTGGCCTCAGATTGGAGCCCTCTCAGACAGGCTCCCCATGGCTGGGTGCTCTTGCTTCTGCCCTGTTCCCTGGTCATCAGAAGAGAAAACACATAGCGCCGGCAGCACTGGAGAGGTTCTTACATAAGTCAGGGCAATCGAGGTCCTCCTGAGAGAATGAGGATTTTAGAAGCATCTTGTATCATAAAGGTGGGGCACAATGGGATGAGAGTCCTGGCCGTGTTTGTGTGACACTCGGTAGGAGGCAGGCCCACGCCTGATCCTTTGCAGCTCAGGGGTATGCAGGTTCCACTGCGTCCCTCACGGCGGTTCTTCAGCTGGTAGACGTCATGTGGATGTGGCTTCTCAGCCAGGCAGTGAGTCATGACAGTCTCAGCTGGTGACTCACTCACTCAGCAGTCTCCCAGGGAGACTGACCAGGATTTTGTGTGTAACGGGGGCTAAACTCATGCCACAGAAGTTCTGCAGCTTTGCTTTTCTGTTATGAAAATCCTTTCAAATATGAGAGTAATGTATTTCAAATACCAAAAACAGTACAAACATTTTTTTTCACCCCCTCAAAGTACCGCTGTGAGCAATTTGGTAAACTTCCTTCTGTTTTGCACCCGTACCCCCCACATGTATTGCCCTTTTTCTTCTAGACTGATGACATCTCTAAAACGTTGTTTGGGTCTTTTTCGTTGGCCTCTGGGTTAGAATGAACTCTCTGCAGGCGTCTCAGCAGTGCACCCCTAGATCCCCGGCGGTCTCAGTGGTAGTGCAGTGAGAGTCTAGAAGCTTGTGGTTCTTAAAATGACGCCGACCATGCCGGTGTTACCTGAATTCAGTCTAGCAGTGCATCGGCATTTTATCGGGCAGTGGGAACCAGAGAAAACATTCCCAAAGATGCTGATGGGGGAGCCTCGGGCTAAAGATGGTAGGTGGAGACATCCTCATGGAATTACCTAATAAAGAGGGAAAATCTAGTAGAAATAAGTGGGAACGAGGCAGCCGGATAAGGAAAGGGCAGAACTCAGCACTCTTCCCACTTGGCAGAAGGGGCCTCAGCACATCTTGGGGCCAGCAGAAGAGCCCTTGCTGTGTGGCCAGGCCCAGCGAACCCCAGACCTCCCTGCCCCGTGCCCAAGTCCAGGAGAAGCAAACTCGGCAGGAGTTCTTCCCTTTATCCCTGTGGGTGGAGGAGTAGAGAGGTCTGCTGAAGGGCAGAAACCAGGGAACAGTGGAACAGGACTCACTGTATCAGTAAAAGCTCTGAGTGTGTGTTCATGCGAGCAGACTGTCCATGGAGGGTCTGCAGTGCGCATCAGCTCCAACACGTGCTGGACACCAGCAGCCTCAGGGGAGAGTCAGGGCTCAGGGTGTCTGAGGGGGGCGCTCCCTCCACTCACTTCTCTCCTGGGGGTCTGAAGCTGCCAGAATACAAGATATCCGGCCCTCCAGAAGTTTCAGACTAAAAACAAGTAAGAACCAAACTGCATATTCAAAATATAGCTATATAAGTGTGGAATTATAACTTATTTATTAACAAGTTAAAACTTTAAGGAATGATTAGCCAGAAATGTAATTCCTGTTCTAGAGGAAAGGCTTGAGACAGTCCCAGAGATTGAAAGATACGCGTTAAAGCAATTAGTGGGACTTCCCTGGTGGTCCAGTGGTTTAGACTCCAGGCTCCCAATGCAGGGGACCTGGGTTCAATCCTTGGTCAGGGAACTAGATCCCACATGCTGCAACCAAGAGTTCACATGCCACAACTAAAGATCCCCTCATGCTGCAACTAAGATCCAGTGCAGCCAAATAAAATATTGGGGGTGGGGGAGGAAGAAAGCTAACAGGTGCAGAGGACAGGTGAGAATGCTCCCAGTGCCAGAATACCAAGACATGCAAATGCAAAGACAGGTCATGGGATTATTGCCATGAAAAGGAGAAAGAAACCTGAGTCTGCAAATCGAAAGGGTGCACATGGTATTTTAGGAACATTTGCTCTACAAAGTGTGGCATAGCCCAGTTAAACTGTTGACCTTGGAACACAGTCTTTGGCCATTGGTGTCTGGACGTCCGAGAGAGGAGGTGAAGGCTGCTGGTCAGGTGCCGGCAGGTGTGGGAGTGGCCTTTGCTGAGATGGGAAGCCCTGGAGGAGGGCTAGTCGGGGGTGAGAGGACGCGGGGCTCTGTTCTGGACAGGAGTCTAGGTGCCTTTTTGGTCCAGATGGAGTTGTCAGGCAGGCAGTGTCTCTTTGAGGATCCTACAGCCTGGAGCAGGAAGACGGGGCCGGAGGTAATGATAAGGTACTGACACATGATGCAGCTGTAGTCCAGATGTTGGGGGCACAGAACAGGGGCGCCCAGGGTGAGACTGGGGCTTCCTAGCTTTGTTGACACTAGAACTGAGGCTTGAAAGATGAGTTAGGCAAAGAAGCAAGATAGTTTTTGTGTGAAAGGGACTTACACATTCCCCACTGGAAGGCCACCAACAGCTCTTGTCACACTCATGCTTTCAGAGCATCTGCAGAAGCACCTCTTCCAAAGGCTTCTCAGTTGTAGGGGTTCATCTGTGATATGTTGACAACACCCACACGTTTCTTGACCCTATTCTTGTTTTGGAACGTAGGGTGTGGGCTCTAGAGCTGATTTGTGGACTTCAGGTCACGGGGAGGTGCAGGAGCTGGGCTGAGTCACTGTGTGAGGGTAATAGAACAGGTGTTTGGAAGCCGAGCAGTGAGGTCTCCTCTCTCCACCTCTTCTGCAGGATAAGGAGCCCCGGGGAATTATTCCGCTAGAGAACCTGAGCATCCGGGAGGTGGAAGACTCCAAAAAACCAGTGAGTGTTTTTGATGAGCTGCTTCGGAGGGACAGAAGAGATGGGCATAGCAGCTGTTCAACATAAGATGAAGTCACAAAGGTTTACCATTGACCCTGGGCAACACGGTTGGGGCTGCGCGGGTCCCCTTACAAGCGGATTGTTCTCAGTGGTGACTGCTGCAGTAGAACACTGTCTGCGCTGGGCCGAGTCCTTGGAGGCCAAGCCTCTGCTGCACAGACGGAGGCCACCTGTCCATCAGACGTGGTCCCTTAATGTGCAGAAGGTCGGTGCTCACCCCCGCCTTACTCAGGGGTCAAGGACTTGAAAAAACTCCAGAAGTACTAATTTAGTTTAGCCTAACTTTAAAAATTATCTTTACAGGTAAGGTAAAGGTGAAAGAAACTAAATAACGTCTTTCATTCTGTCCATCTGCTTTAGTGTCACTTTCTAACTATCACACGAGGTATAGGATTATCCTTCCTTAAAAGGCTTTAGCAAGCTCTCATGATTGGGCCACTTATTTTTTGATCTTCAGATGGCTTATAAATATTTTTCCTTTGATTTGGATTATTGTATTGCTGACTTGGCTGTAAAAGTCATTCGGTTACCTGCAGTTACCTCCATATTTTCTATAGGTTAGAAGTAGAGCTAATGTGTATCTGCTTGGTATCTTTGCTGGTAAGACCTATTTGTATACAATGTATGTTCTCCAGAATTCCACTTTTAGGCTACTCTTTTTCAAAGGAAAATGTATGTTTCCTATAAAAGTCAGAATAAAGAAATTAACTTTTTTTTTTTAATAAAATTTTCCTTTTGGGGAAATAAATGAACCTTTTTTTTTCTTGGTCAGCAGCTTTCTTGGATCTTTATCGCTCTCCCTCTGTTTCTTAATTCTCAGAACTGCTTTGAACTTTACATCCCCGACAATAAAGACCAAGTGATTAAGGCCTGTAAGACGGAGGCTGATGGGCGCGTGGTTGAGGGGAACCACACGGTCTACCGTATCTCGGCCCCAACGCCCGAGGAGAAGGAGGACTGGATCAAGTGCATCAAGTAGGTGACATATGACAGCTGGGCCCTCGCATCTCAGACAGTCACACCCCAGCTGCCTGTGTGCTACCCACCCACCTCAGCACCCTGTGCTGAATCCATAGTGGGTAGTCTGACTCTGATTCCCGGGTGACTTTTCACTGGGTCCCTGGATTCTTGACCCTTGGACATTTTTCAGAGAGTACCTCACATCTCGGTTTCCCAAGAGCCTCTCCTGGCCCCACAGAGGGGACTGGTGAGTAGGCTTAGAGGCACAGATGCCAGTGGCCAGACTGGCCTTCTCATGTCTTTGGAAGCAGGTCTCATCTTCATGGTGACAGCTCAGCGGAAATTGTAACCATTCCCTTTTATAATTCCTAATCCTGCGAGACACTCTTGTCCCATTTACAGATGGGAAAACTGAGGCCTATTGAGGGTAAGTGGTGAACGCTTGTCAAAGTCATGTGGCAGCGATCCAGGATCATAAAGCAGAGCCCCACACTCCCCACTCAGCTGTGAAGGAGAGAAGGTTTGGGAGAAGGCAGGTGTAAACAGATCCTGAGATCCAGGGCTCTTCCTGGTCCCTGCTCTGCCTGTCACCGACTTTATCACAGGGGAGGTATCCTGCTGCAGCCCCTCTTCCCCACTCCCCCCTGGGGCTTCTGTGAACCCTGTCGCACCCGCCATCATGCCCACCGCCCATCACCATGCTTGTCTCAGTGGCTTTTCTTCCTGGGAGCACTCTGCCCACTGGTGCTGTGTTCATCAGGCGTGACCCAGCCATCCCCTAAGGGTGTCCCTGGGACCAGAGTGAGGATGGCCACAAGAAGGTGCACACCTACATGTGTGGCTGGGCGGGGCTTCCAGACCTGAGCACATCATGTGTCCTGGGCCCCTCACGTGGGCTGGAGATGTCCCGTGGCGTCCCTGGGGGTTGGCCCACCCAGGAAGCCGAGGTGGGCTCCTCGCCCTGACTCCCCGAAGACGGAAGCAGGATTCCTTCCCGACCTCTCCATGTGGTCAGACACTCGCATGGCAGAGTCCCTCGGGACTCGTCCCGGCCTTGTCCAGGTCTTGCCTCCCGTGCACACGTCCTCTCTGTGAACAGAACCTGGTCAGCTTGTAGGAGCCATTGTGCACCTGGTCAGGTGCAGAGTCCGCAGTCACATGGGCTTGTGACAAGCCCGGAAACTGTCGGCACTTGGAATACCACTTCTCTGGAAAAGCAAAGGAAACTTCAAGTTGTGGATCACAGTTTGCTTGAACGTGGAGAGTGACCAGTGTAAAGGGGCAGCAGGGGGCCACGGCCTGTCGTCACCACCTGTGCAGGTGTCTCTGGGGCCAGTGTGGGGGCTGCCTGGGCTCTCTCCCCACCAGACTGTGGATGTAGGGCAGGCCGCTGGCCGCTGCTCGGCCCCCACTGCCCAGTGACGGGTCTTGGCTGCTGAGCTGGTGCACTTGGGGACTCAGAAACTGCCGAGTACAGACTGCAGCTGCCAGCCAGATGCACCACGTGCCAGGTGACACACAGGGTTGTGTGGCAGTCACTGCTGCAGACGAATGCCTCTGTCGTCACAGAGCTGGAGCATCACGACTGTTTCCCTGAGTTAGAGCGCAGCCGTGAGGTGTAGAGGACTCCTGAACTTAAGCTGATTACTTGGTTGAAACAGGCAGTAAGCGCCCCACGGTTTCCTTGTTACCTGTACCTCATCTCCCTCCAGACTTGTCTTCTGTTCCACGTGTGGATCCAGCGAAGGCTGATGCCATAATGTGGCCTTGACAGGGATGGTCAGGCAGCTAAGGGGAGCGTGTGGGCACAGCTGCCACTAGGAAGCCCTGGCCTGGGTTTGTATCTCCTGTTCCTTGGTCCTTGCTGATTTCTCTCCTTTTCTGTGCTGCAGGGCGGCCATCAGCAGGGACCCTTTCTACGAGATGCTGGCCGCACGGAAGAAGAAAGTGTCCTCCACGAAAAGACACTGAGTCTGCAAAGCCAGCGGGGCCTGCGTGCCCGGCGAGTGCTTCCCAGCCAATGAGGCCCGGGGTGGCCGCCGTGCCTCCGACAGAGTGGGAGCGTCTGGCCAGGCATCACCCTGAATTCCTAGAGACTAGCTTCAGCTTTTGCTAATTTTTTTAAGTGGGAGAAGGGTAGGTGGTCACCCCTGAGGAAGGGGGCCTGACGCCTTCACACTTGGGTTTTGAGCCTTTCTCTCTAAAAAAGAAAAGAGCTCCTGTCGGCCAGGCCGCCCCCCCGCAGGTCTCCGCTCAGCAGGTCTGAGAGCAGAGCTCAGAGCCGACCATTTACCTCTCGGTTATTCCCTGGGAAGAAGCCTTCAACCCTGTACCATAAATACGTGTATCCGTATCTTATTATATGTTAAGAAAAAGTGGGGAATGGAAGAGAAGCCACATACTATAAAGATATATTTTTGTTTTTTAAAGAAAGAGAGAAAGTAGAGCTGTCCAGATGCATTCTGTCCCATGTGCTTCGGGAAGCTTCTCCCTGGAGAAGAAGCTCTCTGGACCACTGCTGCAGGTGTCAGCCCAGGGCAGGGGCTGGGCAGACTGCCTCCCCATGCTCATAGGGGCTTGGCTGGGTGGGAGAGGGGGTGGCGAGAGGGTGGAGGGGGCCACGCGTCGAGGACAGCCTCGGGGTCTGCAGGGCAGCGCCAGCCACTCCAGTCAGTGCTTGTCCTTCCTGGTGCCTGGGGAGCACCGCGGCGAGAAGGGAGTCTGCCCGCCGCCTGCGCTCTTCTTTCTCTTTCAGGAGTCATTCTTGTCGGGCTTTAAAATAGAAAGGCAGCATCTTTCCTCGAGCTACATACCTAATAACCAAAACTGTGAGGAAGGCAGTCCCATCAGAGGGTCTGGGATGATCTGTTTCTTATTTGGTTTTTCTTCCTTCTGCCCCTACACTCCATTCCTCGTTTTAGAGGAAGGAGCGGGTCTGACCCGACCACCTGAGGGCTTCGGCCTTCCCTGCCTCAGAGCTGGCCCTCACCTGGACCACACCATGGGTTTAGTGGTGGCCCTTGGAGGGGAGCGGGCCTTCACCTGTGTGGCAGGGCCAGGGCGGGGGGAGCCAGGGGGTGAGGGCTTGGCCCCCGCTCCTGACGCATGGCCAGAAGGAGCCGCGGCCACCGCTCTCCTGCCGTTCTCTCAGGGACTCTCGTCCGGGCCCGGCACCCAGTCCAGGCAGAGCAGGGCCGGCCGGGCCATTGTCGCCAGACCCCTCCCAGGCCGTGTGACCCCGGCTTCCCCGACTCCTTCCAGGCAGGCTCACATCTCTGGAAATAGCTTTGGTAAAGGGGCGTGGGGGTGCTTTCTGGCCCCCCCCCCCCTTGGTGTAGGTCCTCCCTGGAGTGGCTTCAGGCATTTTAATGCCGGAGCTTGTGAAGGTGACAGAAGAGGGTCCAGGCTGGTAACCTGACCTTTCTGGGTGAGAGAGCCAGGGCAGGGCCAGCCGAGAGCCAGGGAGTCTGGGCCGGTGCTGGAGCCCCTCTGGTGATCTGAGTCCTTGGCCTGGGTTCTCGTGAATATTACCTAGACAGAGAGGCACCTGGATCAGTATTAGTCTATTTATCAGAGGTGTAAATAATCCATGTATAGTTTTTCTCCTTTTAGATTATTTTGTATTTGTTTTAAAAAAAGTTTTGTCAAAATATAAAGAAATGACTGAAAGTTGTTGACAGGGTTTTTAAAAAATTATAATTATTATTCCAATTTCTTTTTGTTTGTTTGTTTTTTTGCATTGTAAACTAGCGCCAAGGAACTGCAGCAAATAAACTCCAAATCTGCCCAAACCACTTTGTTACCTGTGGCGTTGCTTCATGCCCAGCTGGGCCTTGAGAAGGAAGGTTCTGCTTGTCAAGTGCACTCGTGAGGGTGGATGTGTCGCCTGAACTTCACACAGGTCAAGTCTAGTGACGATAAAGATCGGAAGTTGGGGAGGATGGTGCTATCTCCTGTTAAAGAGAGCAGAGCAAGAAAGATGACTGGCATAGTGATTTCCCCCTTTTTTGGAAGAAGAAACAAATGTCAGACATTGACTTTATTTTTTTTATTAATTTTTATTGATTATAATTGCTTTATAATGTTGTGTCAGTTTCTGCCATACAACAAAGTGAATCAAACCGGGATGCACATACCCCTTCTTTAGATCTCCTCCCCACTTGGGTAACCACAGAACACTGAGAAGCATTCCCTGTGCTGTAGAGTGGGTTCTCGTTAGTTACTTGTTTTATACATAGTAGCACATATGTGTCACTCCCAGTCTCTCAGTTCATCCCACCCTTCCTTCCCCTGCTTGGTATCGGTAAGTTTGTTCTCTCCATCTGTCTCTTTCTGCTTTGCAAATAGGTTCATTGGTGCCATTTTTCTAGATTCCACATATAAACAATATTATATAGTATTTGGTTTTCTCTTTCTGAATTACTTCATTCTGTATGACAACCTCTACAGCCATCTTTTATTAAGATCAAGAAATGTGCCTTCAGCCTTTATAATACATTTTCAGTATCATTTCAGTTTCCAGATGTGCCTCCATAACGCCAGGGAAGGGTCACAGTGAGGTAGAACCCAAAAAGCCCAGAAGGTACTCAGCATAGCATCACAGGGTAAGGAGACGGACAAGCCCTAGCCTGCCCCTCAGCTAGTGTTTCACCAGAAAGTGCAGTGTAGAGTTACCATATGATTCAGCAGTTCCATTCCAGTGTGTATGCTCACGAGAACTGAAAATGTGTCCACATAATAACTTGCACTTGAATGTTTATAGTCGCATGATTCACAATGGCCAAAAGGTGGAAACACTACAGATGTCCATCACCCAATGACTGGATAAATGAACTTTGGTGTGTTTGTACAGTGGAATATCATGCAGCCATGAAAAGAAATGGGTTGGGATTCGTGTTGTGACATGGCCGAACCCTGAAAACATCATGCTGCATCAAAGAAGCCCGACACAAAAGCTCATGGTTTATATGATTCTGTTTATATGCAGTGTCTTTAAAAGGCAAACCTATGGAGAGAGAAGGTGGGTTGGTGATTGTTAGAGGCTGGTGATGTCAGGGGAGAAGGGAGTGACTGCCCATGGGTACAGGGTTTCTTTTGAGGGTGTTGAAAATGTTTGTTGATAGTTGCACAATGTTGTGAATGCAGTAAAACTCACCGAATTGTACACTTTAAATGGACAGGTGAATTCTGGACTTCCCCAGTAGTCCAGTGGTTAAGAATCTGCCTACCAATACAGGGGACACGGGTTCAATCCCTGGTCCAGGAAGATCCCACATGCTATGGAACAACTCAGCCCCATGTGCCACAACTACTCAACCCTAGAGCCTGTGCTCTGCATCAGGAGAAGCCACCACAACGAGAGACTCGGGCACCACAGCTGGAGAGTGGCCCGCATACGCTGCCGCTGGAGGAAGTCCATGTGCAGCAAAAGACCCAGCGCAGCCAAAAATAAAAATGTAAACAATTTTAAAATTAAAGGGTGAATTTAATGGTAAGTGAGTTAGATCTCAATTTTAGAACAACAGCAGTGAATAAATGCCCTGACTTCCTGTGGTTCTGAAAGTATGGTTGCCTGGACAGCATTTCCATCAGCATTGGGGATGAGTTAGAAGTACAGATTCTCAGGTGCCCGCCACACCCACTGAATTGGAGCCTGCTGTGCTGGGACCTGACACGGTTTAACAAGTTTTCCAGGTGCTTCTGGCGCCCAGTACTGTTTGAGAATACTGCCTTAAACAACCACCCCAATTCTTTTTGTCACCAGACTCAGGTTGGCTGCTCATTGATCAAGTATCCAATGTTGAGAAACAAGTGTTGGTTACAAAGAAAGATGGCTTTACTTAGAAGCCAGCAATCCTGCAGAGAATGTGGACTCATGTCCCAAAGAACCCATTTCCCCTTGTCAGTCAGGGGGCAGGAGCTTCTAAGAGGGAGTTTCAGGGGTACACACGTGGGGTTGGGGGGCCACGTGCAGAACAGCACAGTCAGCTCCAACAGTCATCTTGAAATTTCTCATGGAGTGATCTGATCAATGTCACCTTGATTATTTTAAGTTCAGTTAATCTTCAGATCCAGGGTCAGTTTGTTTCCATTTCCTTAAGGCCAGTTTTTGCAATTGTGCAAAATGGAGCAGCTTATGTCACGTCTGCAGTTTGATCATCATGTTGTTAACAACTTCCTTCTGGTTGGGGTTTCAGTATCTGTGAAACAGCCAAAAGGATATTACTGAGGATGTTACCTGCAGCCCTTGAGGAGGAACTAAAGGTATTTTGTGTAATAACTGTTATTTTGCTTGTTGACTATTTTCCTCTGTTTCTGCATTTTCTCATTTCTCTGATTAAATTTATTCTTTGGCTAAAGTTTTTCCAGATAAGGGGCAGGTGGAGGACTTGGGGGGTGGGGGAAGGTGTCTCTCCAGGGAAGGCCCCATATGGTCCTGATCAGTTACACTTGCTTCTCTTCCTTGTGAGGCAGACATGCGTACACACGTATATACACATCAGGTTTAGTGGAGTATAATTCTGTACCATATAATTCATCCATTTAAAGTGTACAGTTCAGTGGGTTTGGTGTATTCACCAAGTCGTTCAGCCATTAACCATCAATTTTGGAATATATTCATCGTCCCCAAACAAACCCTGTTGTTCCCATTAGCATCCTCTCATCCCCCTGCAGCCCTCGGCAGACCCTCATTTCAGCCTCTGGGGACTTACCTCTCCTGGACATCTCATAGAATTGGAATCATACACTGTGTAGTCCTCTGTCTGACTGCTCGCACTCACCACTGCTTTCAAGGTTCATTCGTGTTGTAGGTTGTCAGTACTTAATTCTGTTTTATGACTGATGTTCCATTTTATGGATATACCACATCTTTATTCATTCATCTGTTGATGGGTATTGAGTAAATTCCACTCTTGGGCTGCTATGGACAGTGGAACCATGAGCATTCATGTGCAGGTTTTGTGAGCATTGCTGGCGTTTTTGACAGTTTGTCCCATTGCATCTGCATCTTCGTCCTCAGCCAAGGACCTGCCTCCACTCCCCGCTCTCGGCTTTGATGGACGAATCTGGGCTCACCTACCTCTCTGCCACCTCGACATCAGGCTCTTTCACTGACCCCTCTGCCCACCCACCGCCTGCTGACACTCCACAGGACTAGCCTCTAGTGTTCGCAAATGCCTGAGTAGATGACCAGTCACATGGTTGCACCTGCTAACCAGCTGGGGCCCCAAAATGTGCCTCTGTGCCTCTTGTCTCTCTCTTTGCCTCCTATTGGGCCTGTCCACCAGGGGTTCCCCGGGGCCTCCCATGCATACTCGGCGTGTTGTACCTGAGCTCTGATCACCCCAGGAGAGTTCCTTGTCAACACTTCCCCCTGAGCACAGCCTCACCAGTGATTCTTGCCTGAGTGCTCTGCGCACACTCATTTGGTGGCTGCAAAATGATGAGCCCCACCTCCAGCGCCCCCCTCGAGTGACCAGTTGGCCCTCGGCGTCCTGACTATGAGAAGGAGCCTTTCTTTGTCCTGCTTGCACACCTGTCAATGGCGTGGATGTATGGATTCCTGTTTCCAGAGGTCTGTAACATACTACTGTCCTTACTGAGTCTGACGCTCAAAATGTCCCCAATTTGGCCAGTGGGAGCCCCTTCCATTGGCTCCATGTCCTATGACATGACGTGATATAACCTGCATTTTCTTAGCACGGATGCCTTTCCTGGCATCACAAAATGCTTCAGGATCACCTCATACCCACCGTCCCTTAGTTCCAGGGTCAGCCATTTCTCCAGGGGCCTCCAGTTCCTTTTGAAGGCCAAGAGCTGGCCTCTAGGTGTGCCCATTGCTACTGAGGTCCCTTTGCCCTTTCAGTGAACAGGGCTAGAAAACATGCACATAGATACACATGGATACTACACACTCTAGCACAGGTACACCTATATATAATAGCACATACCTCATTGGGCTACGTATGAATGAATCAAATGATGCATATTTAAAAAACAAAAACAGCTCTTAGCCTAGTGCCTGGACCTGGCCTGGAACTCAGTTTCACCATAATTATCATCATTATTTTAATTATTTTTGAAAACTATGGAATCCTTTGCTGATCCTTTGCATGCCATGCATGAAATCCCAGTTTGGGGTCCAGAGCAAGGGGCCAGCTGACTCACCCGCTCACTCCAAACAGGTGGACAGATGTGCCAGAGTTCTGCTTAAAACGTGCTGCCTGGGGGTTCTCTGGTGGCTCAGAAGTGAAGAATCTGTCTGTCAATGCAGAAGATACACGTTCAATCCCGGGTCCAGGAAGATCCCACATGCCCCGGAGCAACTAAGCCCCATGTGCCACAACTACTGAGCCTAGAGCCCTTGATCCTGTGCTCCGCAACAAGAGAAGTCACTGCAATGAGAGGCCTTCGCAC